TAAGGAGAAGTCAAGCTGATTTGGAGCCCCAAAACTGGAGGAACAATGCGGTGGATGGGAATCTTGCATCCTTCCCCAACCAACAGAGGAAGGTCATCAAGACCTAGCATTTCCTGACCCCAATTGGCCACAAAATGCACCCAGGTAAACTCATCCTTTTTCTGGGTTGAATGGGAGACCCTCTGCCAACATGAGTGAGCCTGGCACCACTAGCAGGGCAAAACAGTCAGGAAACTCATCAACAATAAAAGGCAAGGCAGAGTGCTCTCTTCCCACTGGCCCCCACAAGCCTGCACTGTTGAGATATACTGAGGTAGGGAGCCAGAACAAATAAGAGGGACACACTTATCACAAGGGACTTAGTCTGGGAAGCTTCTTTTACCCCTTCGGCACCACAAACCTAATACTCCTGATATTCCTTCTCCTATTGGGAGCCACCAAGGTCATCAGGTAGAACCAGTAGGAAGGATTCAGCCATAACAAATGACCAATCCCACTCTCCAGAGTATCCAGGAGAGTGATCCAGGGCATCAAGGTGGGTGGTTGGAACCAGCTATCAGAATGCAGCAACAAAATAAGCAGCAATCTGAGAAGACTGAACCTGAAAGCTCAAGAAAAGTCGTCCATATTCAGGGACACCAGAGAAGACACAGAACACCAGTTGGGGGATCTCCACAGAGAGACACCAGAATCCTGGCCTGAGAAACCCCTTCTATACTCATAGGCAGAGACCTAAGGAAGCCCCAGAGGGACCAGGGAAGCCAAACAAAACAAAACAAAACAAAAACAAACAAAAGAACACTGCAAATGCACACCCTTTGGAACCACAGCCCACAAAAGTCACCCAAGACCTGAATGCTAACCCTAAACAGGGAAACAAACTTTCTACTAAAATAAAAGATATAAGCAGAACGTATATCTCCTAGTGTATTAGACAAAATGTCCAGAACACAAAATGGTTTGTTGTGTCAAGAGTCAAAAACACACACCTTGAATGAGAAAAGACAATCCACTGACTCCAATATGGGGATGAATTAGATGTTGGAATTCTCTGACACTACCACCAAGGATTTTAAAGCTTCCATCATAAGAGTACTTCAACAATCCATTTTAAAATTTGTTGAGTTGGGGCACTTGGGTGGCTTAGTTGGTTAAGCATCTGCCTTCAGCTCAGGTCATAATCTCAGGGTCCTGGGATGGAGCCCTGCATTGGGCTCCCCGCTCAGCAGGGAGTCTTCTTTTCCTTCTCCTTTTGCCCCTTCCCCTCCATTCATGCTTTGTCTTTTGCTTTCTCTCTCAAATAAATACAATCTTTAAAAAAATAAATAAAAAAATTTGTTGAGATAAATGGGAAAACAAAACACCTCAGCAAAGAAATAATACTATTAAAATAATAAAAAATTACAGAATCAAAAAAATATAATAACTGAAAAAATTAAAACTCACTAGATGACCTCAGTCATAGAGTGGAGAAGACAGAAGATAAAGTAAGTGAAGCTGAGGACACATCAGTAGAATCCCCCTCATCTGAACAACATGGAGAAAATACACTAAAGAAAAAAAAAAAAAGCAGACCCTCAAGGATCAGTGGGGCAATCACAACAGATCTAACATGTGTATAATCAAGAAGTTTGAGGGAGGGGTTAGAGAGTGAGACTAAAAGAGTATTTGAAGAAGTAATGGCTAAAAACTTCCCGAATTTGGTTAAAGGTATAAACCTATAGATCCAAGAAGCCAAGTGAACAAACTCCGAACATAATCCAAAGATATGCACACCAACACAAATCATAAGCTTTTAGAAATGAAAGACAAAGAAAAATCTTGAAAGCAAACAGAGAGAAATGAATTGGAGAACACCATTCAAATAACAGATTTCTTATCTGAAATCACAAAGGCCAGGAGAGATAGTAGAATCCACATTCTTCTCAGGCTCACGTGAAACATTAGCCAGGATAGATCACATTATAGGCCACAAAACACAACTTAACAAATTTAAAAGAATAGAAATTATGGAATGTCTGCTGTCAGACTATAGTGGAGTTAAATTAGAAGACAGTAACAGAAAAATAACCGAAAAATTCCCAAATACCTGAAGATTAAACAATATATATTTTTTAAGATTTTATCTATTTATCTGACAGACGGAGATCACAAGTAGGCAGAGAAGCAGGCAGAGAGAGAGAAGGAAGCAGGCTCCCCACTGAGCAGAGAGCCCCATGCAGGGCTCAATCCCAGCACCCCGGGACGATGACCCGAGCCGAAGGCAGAGGCCTTAACCCACCAAGCCACCCAGGCACCCCCAATATACTTTTTTCAAAAAAACAGACACATAAAAGATATGTTTATTAATCCTTTCATGAAAAATCTGTCTGCATAGTCACCACAGATAGTCACTGCAGAATCTTTACGCCTTTTGTTGTCCAATCTCCAACTTCCTTAGAGCCAGTGTCAGTGCTGGCTTTTGCAGACCCTCTTTCTCCATTCTGTTCTTATGCTCCTTTCACTATTTTCTTAAGGTCTTTTTCTTCTCATACAGGCTGTGTCTTACAAGTCTATGTTTGGGTTCATTTTTCTTTGCACAATCCAAGAAATCATAAATTATACCAAAATCAGTTGCATTGTCACCATCAAAATGGGTTCTGAATGAAATACAAAGATGACATCTTGTGTGATCTTATATATTTTGGCAGGTTTTTCTTGAATTTCTGTCATAGGTACTGTTGCCTTTCCTGGGTGAAGAACATCAATGACCCTTTCTTTTGCTGAAGGAGTCAGTGGGTCATAATCTTTATGGTCCAGATAGTTAATCTATCACTCATGATGGCAGCTGAGCCAACAATACACTTTTATTTTTATATTTTCATTTTTTAAAAATTTGTTTATTTCTCTGTGGGGGGAGGGGTAGAGGGAGAGAGAGGGGGAGGAAACTCAAGCAGACTCCATGCTGAAGGCAAAGCCCACTACAGGTTTCAATCTCATGACCTTGACATCAGACCTGAGCTGAAACCAGGATTTAGATGCTTAACTGACTGGACCATCCAGGTGCCTCATCAATACACCTCTTTTATTTTAATTTTTTTTAAATATTTTCTTTATTTATTTAACAGAGAGAGAGAGAACATGAGAGAACACAAACAGAGGGAGAAGGAGAAGCAGGCTTCCCACTGAGCAAGGAGCCTGATGTGGAACTCCACCCCAGGACCCTGGGATCATGACCTGAGCCTAAGGAAGATGCTTAATCTGCTGAGCCACCCAGGAAACCCTCATCAATACACTTTTAAAGGACACATAAGTCAAAGAAGAAATCTCAAGAGAAATTTAAAAATATTTTGAACTAAATTAAAATAAAACAAAATTTGTAGGATGCAGCAAAGCAGTGCTTGGAGGGAACTGAATGCATGGTGTTAGAAAAGAGAAAAGATCTAACACCAACAAGCGAAGTTTCTACCTTAGGAAACTAGAAATAGAAGAGAAAATTAAGTCCAAAGCAAACAAACAAACAAACAGAACAACACAACACAATAAGAACTGGAGCAAAGATCAATTAAATTTAAAACAGGAAATCAATGGAGAAAGTTATTGAAACCAAAAGCCAATTCTTTGAAAAGATGAATAAAATTGATAAGCCTTTAGTCAAGCTAACTAAGAAAAAAAAGAGAGAAAGAGAAAGAACACACTACTAATTACTAATCTCAGGAACAAAAGAGAAGATATCACCACAGCTTCTATGAAAATTAAAAGAATAATACAGACATACTATGAACAGTTCTATGCCCACAAATTTGGTAACATAGAAGAAATGGACCAATTCTTTGAAAGACAGAATCTGTCAAAACTCACACAAGAAGAAATAGGCTTGTATCTATTAAATTAATCTTACTAAGGGGTGCCTGGGTGGCTCAGTGTGTTAAGCCTTTGCCTTTGGTTCGGGTCATGATCTCAGGGTCATGGGATCCAGCTCCACATCTGGCTCTCTGTTTAGCAGGGAGCCTGGTTCACCCCCTCTCTCTCTGCCTGCCTCTCTGCCTACTTGTGATCTCTCTCTCTCTCTCTCTCTGTCAAATAAATAAATAAAATCTTTAAAAAATATAAATTAATCTTACCAAGAATTACTAATTTTTCTGGGATGCCTGGGTGGCTCAGTTGGTTAAGCATCCTACTCTTGATTTTGGCTCCAGTTGTGATCTCAGGGTTGTGAGATTGCGCCCTGTATCAGGCTGTTGAGCATGGAGTCTGTTTAAGATTCGCTCTCTCTGTCTAGGTCTCACTCTCTCTCTGATTCCCCACCCCACCCTATCCACCTTACCCCACCTACCCTGCTCACACACTCTCACTTTCTTAAAATAAATAAATAAATAAAATAAAATAAAATAGAATTACTAATCTTCCATAACAAAAAGCACCAGCCCCAGATGCATTCCCTGGTGAATTCTACCAAACATTTAAAGAAGAAATTTACACCAAATTCTTTGCAATCTCTTTCAGAAGATAGAAACAGAGGAAATACTTCCTACCTCCATTCTATGAAGCCACTATTACCCTAATACCAAGACTGAACAAAGACATTGCAAAAAAATAGAACACTATTAACCCATATTTCTCATGAACATAGCTAAGCATATTCTCAACAAAAGATTTGCAAATAGAATCCAGCAGTGTAAAAAAAAAAAGAACTATACACCTGACCAAGTGGTATTTATCCCAGATATGCAAGGATGCCCCAACATTAAAATATCAACTATTATAGTCAATCCCATTAACCAACTAAAGAAGAAAAATCACATGATGATATCAATAGATGCAGGTAAAGCATTTGACAAAATTCAACAAAGATTCATGATGAAAATTGCGGTAAACTAGGAATAGGGAGGAGTTCCTCAACTTTTTAAAGAATATAAACAAAGACCCAAGTGAGGACAGCTCCTGCTGGGTCTGAGTGTCACCAGCCCTCCCACCCCTCAAGACCATTGCTATTGACTAGCCCCTACTCCATGGTAATCATGTGCAACCAAAAGGCCCTGATAAAAAATGCCAGCATCTTGGAGGAGATGCAACAGGAGTGGGTAGAATGTACAACTCAGGCACTGGAGAAATACAACATAGAGAGGGACATTGTGGCCTATATGAAAAAGGAGTTTGACAAGGAATACAACCCCACCTGGGACTGCATCATGGTGAGAAACTTCAGTAGTTATATGACAAATGAAACCAAATGCTTCAACTACTTCTATCTGGGCCAAGTGGCCATTCTTCTGTTCAAATCTGATTAAAACCATGAACTGTGTCACCCACCCAGTGATCCACCCAAAGACAAGGACTGCAGTCTAAATTTCAAATACTGAAATCCTCCATCTTGCCTAAGGGAACACCTTGATCTTTGAACCTTTATTGTGTTGTTTTGTATGAGACATTCTCTGTATGAATTTGTTGTGATGATAAAACAGCAAAATAGCTTACCTTTATATTTATTTTATTTTACTTTTTTAAAAGATTTTATTTTATTTATTTGACAGACAGAGATCACAAGTAGGCAGAGAAGCAGGCAGAGAGAGAGAGGAGGAAGCAGGCTCCCTGCTGAGCAGAGAGCCCAATGCAGGGCTGGATCCCAGGACCCTGGGATCATGACCTGGGCCAAAGGCAGAAGCTTTAACCCACTGAGCCACCCAGGCACCCCTATTTTCTATTCCATACTTCATTCCCTATGTTTATGCTACTCAAAATCCATTCCTTTCAAAAAATAATAAATCTGCTGGAGAAAAAAAGAATATATATAGAACCCTATAGCTAACATCATACTTAGTATTGAGAAATTTGAAGTTTCCCACTAAGATTATGTACAAGACAAGAATGTCCTTAATGCTCTTTTTCAATATTGTACTGGAAGACTTTGTTAATGCAAAATGCAAAAAAAGGAAATAAAATAAATACCATGAAGGAATATGTATAATTGCCTTTTTTTTCCATACATGACATGATTGTCTATGTAGAAAGCCCAAAAGAACCAACAAAAACTCCGGGAACTAATAAGAGATTATAGCAAGCTTGTAGAATATAAGGTTAATATATAGAAGTCAATTGCTTTCTAAGATACCAGCAATAAACAAGTGACATTAAAAATTAAAAACACATTACCATTTACATTAGCCCCTCCAAAAATAAATACTTAAGTTTAAATCTAACAAAATATGTATAAACCCTATATAAGGAAAACTATGAGACTCTGTGATTAAAATCAAAGAACTAAATAAATGGAGAGATATTCCACATTCATGTACAGGAAGACCTAATATTTATTAAAATGTCAGTTCTTTACAACTTGATCTGTAGATTTAGAGCAATCTCAATCAAAATCTCAGCCAGTTATTTTGTGGATATGACAAACTGATTCTAACACCTGACGAGCTGGATTTCATCAAAATAAACATTTCTGCTCTATGAAAGAGAGATCAAGAAAATGAGAAGAAAAACCACAGAATGGGAAAAAATATTTGCAAAAGATGCACTTGATAAAATATCCAAAATGTGTTAAGAACTCTTAAAACTCAACAATATAGGATACCAACAACCAATTAAAAAATGGGCCAAGGGTGCCTGGGTGGCTCAGTCAGTTATGAAATCAACTTTTGATTTCATCTCAGGTCATGATCTCAGAGTGGTGAATTCAAGCCCTGCATTGGGCTCCACACTCAGTGAGGAGTTAGAACCTCCTTGAGATTCTCTCCTTCTCTCTTTGCCCCTCCCCCTGCTTGTGTGGACTCTGTCTCTAAAATAAATAAAGAAATCTTAAATAAATAAATAAATAAAATAAAAAATGGGCCAAAGATCTTAACAAATACCTCTCCAAAAAAGATACATGGATGTAAAACAAACACTTGAAACATCATACATCATACATCATTAAGGAATTGCAAATTAAAACAATAATAAAATACCACTGTACATGTATTTGATGAATAAGAATGAAAACACTACAGATTATGTACAAGACAAGAATGTCCTTAATGCTCTTTTTCAATATTGTACTGGAAGACCTTGTCAACACTGACAACACTAAATGCTGTGGTGGATATGGAGTGATAGGAACAATCATTCATTGATAGTAGGAATGCAAAACAGTATAGCTACTTAAGAAGATAGTTTGGCAGTTTCTCATAAAACTAAATATACTCTTACCACATGATATAACAATTTCACTCCTTGATATTTGCCCAAATGAATTAAAAACTTATATCCACACAGGGGCATCTGGGTGGCTCAGTTGGTTAAGAGTCCAACTCTTGGTTTCAGCTTGGGTCATAATCTCAGGGTCTTGAGATAGAGCCCTGAGTCAGGCTCCATGTTCAGCAGGGAACTTGCTTGAGATTCTCTTCCTCTTCGTCTCCCTCTGCTCCTTCCTCTTCTATGCCCCTCACTCTGCCCATCCCCACTTCCCTCTGTGTCTCTCTCAAATAAATAAATAAATAAATAAATAAATAACATATCCATACACACACAGAAAAACTACATACAAATGTTTATATTAGCTTTATTCATAATTGCCAAAACTTGGAAGCAAGTAAGATGTCCTTCAGTGGGTGAATGGATAAAGAAACTGTGGATGGGGTGCCTGGGTGGCTCGGGGGGTTAAGCCGCTGCCCTTGGCTCAGGTCATGATCTCAGGGTCCTGGAATCAAGTTCCGCATCGGGCTCTCTGCTCATCAGGGAGCCTGCTTCCCTCACTCTCTCTCTGCCTGCCTCTCTGTCTACTTGTGATCTCTGTCTGTCAAATAAATAAATAAAATCTTAAAAAAAAAAAAAGAAAGAAAGAAACTGTGGTACATCCAGACAATGGAATATTATTCAGTACTAAAAAGAAATTAGCTACCAAGCCATGAAAAGCCATGGAGAGACCTTAAATACATATTAATAAGTGCAGAAGCTAATCTGAAAAGACTGTATACTACATGATTCCAGCTACATACTACATGATTCCAGCTACAAGGCAAAATTATGGAGAGTAAAAGGAAATCAGTAGTTGGCAGGAATAGGAGGAATAACAAAGTAAATAGCAGTTTTATGGCAGTGAAAATACTTTGTATGGCATTATAATAATATTTATATGTCATTACATATTTGTCCAAACCCATAGAATGTACAACACCAAGAGTAAACCATAAAATAAACTATGGTGTTTGGGTTATTATGATGTCTCAGTGTAGGTCTGTCAATTATAACAAATGTGCCCCATACTGAGAAATATTGATAATGGGGGCTATGCTTGTCTGGGAGTGGGGAGTGGATATGAAATCTCTGTGCTCTCTCTCAATTTTGTAGTGAACCTTAAACTACAGCAAAAAAATTAAGTCTTAAAAAATTATATATAAATAAAGATGGATTTCTAACAAAAGAGTTCAACTAACCCAATGAAAGGTAAAAAAGACACAAAGGAATGAGCACCAGAGAAAATACATAAGATAATGGCAGACTTAAGCATTGATGTTTCAATAATTATCTTAAAAGTAAACAGTTTAATTACCAAAATATGAATACTGTTATAAAAAATTAAAATAATTACCCAATTATATGCTATTAAATGAAACTCAGTTAAAATTCCATGACATAGTTTAGTTAAAAGGAAAATGATAGAAAAAGATAAATAACACAAATAATAATTTAAAATAAAAATGAATAATAATATTAAAATATTTAGAATAATAGGTGGGAGTGGCTATATTAATATTTGATAAAGCAAACATCAGAGTAAAGGAAATTACTGGAAGTAGAGAGTACTAGAATTTCATAATGGAAAAAAATATAATCCACCAGGAAGACATAATAATCCTAAATGGGTAAGTACCAGAAAACAGAGATTCAAAATATTGAAACAAAACTTGACAGAAAAAGAAGAAAAATCCTCAATTACAGTTAAAAACTTTAGTGCTCTCTTTCAGCTACTAATAATAGCATTGGACAAAAAAAATCAGCAAGAATATAGAAATTTCAATGACACAATCAGCCAACAGACTCTAATTGGCATATATAGAACACTCCATCCAATAACAGAAGATGCATTCTTCTCAGGTTCACATGAAACATTTACCAAGATAAATCGTACCTGTTTGGACAAACAACAAATTTAAAAGAACTGAAATCATACAAAGCATGTTCTTTGACCACAATGAAATCAAACTAGAATCAGTAATAGAAAGACAAAAGAAGCATATCTGAACACATGGAAATGAAACAATACACTTCTAAGTAATCTACAGGTAAAAATAGATACCTCAAAAGAAATAAAAATTACATATAAAGAAATAAAAATGCAAATACAACACATAAAAATATGTAAGATCCAGCTATCACAGTGCTAAGAGGGAAGTTCATAGCACAGAAGCTTAAATTTAAAAATATAAAAAAAACTCAAGACAATATCTCAAATTCCTACCTCCAGACACTAGAAACAGAAAAGCAATATGAACCCAAAGCAAGCAGTTAGAAGGAAATAAAGATAAGAGCTAATAAGTGAAATTGAAAATAAGAAAATAATAGGAAAAAAAACTGGTTCCTCAGAAAAAATGATTAAAATTGATAAATTACTAGCAAGTTTAACAAATATTTAAAAAGAGAAGATATAAATGACCAATATTTTAAAAAATGAAGATTATCCTATAGATCCTGCAGACATCAAAGAGCTAATAAAGAATATTACAAACCAGTTTTATACTCATAAATTTGACAACTGAATCAAAATGAGCCAACTCCTCAAAAATCACACTACTAAAATGCAACTAATGTAATATAGGTAATGTGAATAACTATAAGCATTAAATGAACTGAATTTGTAATTAACTCCCTCCTAAATCTCCTAGACCTCATGATTTTAGTAGAGAATTCCACGAAATACTTAAAGAAGAATTAACATCAGTTTTACACATCTTCCATGAAATTAAAAAAAGGAAGGAATACTTTCCAACTCATTGTATGAGGTCAATATTATTCCAATACCAAAAAGACAAAGACAGTACAGAAGGCAAAACTACAGACCAAAATCTCTCATAACTTAAGTTGCAAGAAACTTCAACAAAATATTAGCAAATAGAATACAACACTGTATAAAAAGAATCATATGGCACGATCCAGTGGTATTTATTCTAAGTATGCAAGATTGGCTCAACATTCAGAACAATTAATGTAATCCATGAAATCACATTTTTAAGGAAAAAAATATATGATCATATCAGTTGATGCAGAAAAGTGTTTGCCAAAGTCCAACACCCATTTATGCAAAACA